ATCTTGTCCTTGCGGCTCTCATCTCCTGGCAGACCGATGCCCGCCTTCCAGGTTTGCGGGTAGTATTCGTGCACGCAGTCTATCGGGGGGCGAGTGTGCGCCTTAACGAGCCCGCGCACCTCAATGTTGAGGTCGATGCCGTTCGGGTAATCGGGGTTCACGAAGTAGTCCTCCAAAAAGACCATCTGCGGCGAGCCGGCAAAGACGGCGGGCAGCGCGCCCAGCAGCGGCGCAAGTCTGTTCGAACCCGACTCGTTCGTGTCGAGGCCGTCCTTTTGAAAGTGCAGGTCGAACCGAGCACGGCGCGCGAGAGATCGAGCCAGCCGGCCTCGCGATGCGGGAGACGAAACCGCCGGTGGAGTAGAAGCGTGCAAAGCCGAGGTGGGAGTCGGCGGAGGAGCCCGGGTCGATGGCGAGATAGAAAGGCTCGGAGGACGCGGGCGGAGCGACAGGGGTGGGGAGGGGGGGAGCAGACGGCGCGGCGGAGTCGGTCGGCGCAGCGGAGGCGGTCGGCGCAGCGGAGACGGCGGGTGCCAAGGCAGCGCCGAGATGGATGCGGCGCACAGCCTCGGCGACGCCATCCCGCGTCCAAAAGGCGAGAAGCGCGGCGTACGCATCCGGGGAGAGCTCGCGCTTCAAGGCAGCGTCCGCATTGGCCCGAAACTCCCAGTCGCCCTTCTCCGCGAACATGCACTGCACGGCCGCCAGGCCGGAGTCAAGCTTGGCCACGTCGCAATCGCAAGCGTGCGCGGCACGCGAAGGACTTGGCGAACACAGCGGTGGGCCGGGACTTGTCTATCCACCAGCCGCGGTCCATCTCCTCCGGGTTCATGGTCCGAGGCGCTGCCGGTGCTGTCGGCAGCGCCGCCTCGATTACCTCTGCAGGGGCTGCCGGGAGAGGCGGCACAGAGGGCGTGGTGGCTGGGGCCTCCGTGGGAGCCGAGCTGCCGCTTGCGCGCCGCGCGCCGCGCACGCGCTTGTCGGTCTTCCGGGTCAATCGGCGCTTATAAGGCACCGAGGAGCGTTCGTTCCCTTTCCTGAGCACACGGCGCAGCGCAGTGGTCAGAAATCGCTTGATGCTCCATCAGCAGTGCATGAGGGTGGAGCATCGCGCGCCGGAGAGCCGAGGCGCTCTATTGCACGGCCGTAGGAGGGAGCAAACTGCCCCAAATATCCGCCATTTTGCATGAAACCCTCTCGGCTGTCGCAGAAAAATATTAAATTCGCGCCAGGGGGTCTACGCCGGGATCAGCATCCGGGTGCTCGCGTGCACCCCAAGCGTAGGAGACCACGACAAATGGCGGGAAGCGCATGAACTGTGGATGAAAGGCGTCAACGTTCTCCAACCACTCATCCCACGCGTCCAGCTCGGCGAAGGAGCGCTCGAGCATCTCCGAGTCGACTAACGCCTCAGGCGGCAGGCCCGGGCGGCGGGAGAAGCTGCCGCCTTTCGAGGCTGCCCCCAGCACCCTGCGTACCCCCTACGAGGCTTGTGTGTTGACTGTTGAGAACACCATTGTGAGCACCTCTGCGCAACTCTGTTTCTAGGGTATTTCGTGAAATACCAAATAGTATTTGTGGTCGGCGCAGAGCCTCTCCCAGAGCAGCAGAAGATATCTCACGTGTAGCGTGTACGCCATGAACCTGATCCAGAGATCCAATGTCTTTCGCGAGCGAGCGCTTCAGCAGGACGGCGCAAGCGTGCACCGGAGGCACACACATTCACGCTGAGTCAGGAATGTTGTTGTGAGAGACGCTCCCGGCGGAGCGACTCAAATTCATTCGTCTTGTTTTGGGTCTACTGCGCGCAGCTCCTGTACTCTGTGTGCGAGCGGGGCTTGCAGCAGCCTTGGATGCCCCGCGCGAGCATATTCTGGACGTGTTGCGACTCGAGGGCCTTCCGCGAAAGCCACAGCTCGTCGCCAAACGTGCCGTGGTTGCACTGCCAAACATAGCCGTGCGCTTGGAGCATCTGCACGAGGTCCGGCTTGGGCCGCTCAACGGTGAGCACGGAGATGGTGTATGAGTCCCATGGAAATGAGGACATCACGAGGCTCTCCGCCCCCTGCGATTTCGGTCGTGGTGTGAGCACGGCGACTGAGGTGTGTGGCGTAGCGCGCGTGAGGGGGTCGGAGCATGGATGGGGGTCCGGACGGACGCACGCCTCAACATCGAGAGACAAGTAGTCGATGGTCTTTGGTGCCTTAAATTCTTCAAGAATCCGCGAGAATGGGATCGTTCTCATCTCGCTCGTGTTCGTTGCCTGCTTATTATCCATGCCGGCACCGACGATCCCACCGAGAGCTTTGCGGGATGCGACGAACTGCACAGTGTCCTCGGTGCTCGCGATGGCCACTCCGACGACGGTGCAGTTCCTCCGAGAGAGGAGGTCGGCGTGGTACATGGGGTTGGCCTCGATACAGAGGCCTTCCCATCCATAGTCGCGCTCAAGCGCACGTGTGTTGGAAAGACTGAGCCACGCGTTCGCGGCCAGGTCGATGAAGAATCGCCGGCGCCTCGCTGTCGCTCTTGACGGCATGAGAGTATTCACAGTCCGGTCTTGCCCCCTCTGGCCATGCCACTTGCCCGGCTGGTCGCCCTTGACGGCAGTCGGGTTCGGAACAGCTTGGTAGATGGGGCGCAGCCGGAAGCGCGCCCCATCTGGGGGATTGGGGGCGGGGTCCACGCCCTCCACATGACTCGTGGCGGAGGCCGTGTGCATCAGCAGCAGCGCGAGAGGTCCCATCTCACGCGTTCGGGCTCGGCCTCGTCGCGTAAAGTCGCGGGTTGTACCTGCGCGGGTATATGCATGGTGAGACCTAGTGGGCCCATGAGCTGGGAAAAGAAGTAATATATCTTTACTTCCAAAACCCGGACGTGCCCCCACCGGCACGCCGCTTCCGACAGGGTGATGGAAGGTTCGACGCACCCCCGGACTGGGCGGAGAGATCCCAGGAGCACGCTCCTGGGCTGTCCGCCCCGCCCCCACTTGCCCTGACTGCACAGGATAGCGTGCCCCGACGAACGGCGACACATAGCGGGGGACACTGCGCCGGGGGGTATGCCTAACTTTGGTGCTTTGTGTGGGTCGCGTTCCCTTGGTAGCTGCGTGGCTGAAGCCCTCATGCCGCCGGCGTACGTCCACCCCCCCTTCTCAGGAGGTGGTTCGGCAAGCGGCTGACCCCTCGAGACCGCACTATCAAACTATTAGCCTAATAATGCACCTAATTATTAGAGGTACCTCTAATAATTAGGTGCATTATTAGGCTAATAGTTTGATAGTGCGTTTAGTACGTTGCCGCTCGGTGCACGGTGGGAGGAGGGGGAGAGGGAGGCCTGGGCAGCGAGGGGAAGAGGGAGGCCTGGTGGCGGAGGGGGAGAGGGAGGCCGCCTAGCGGCTCTTCTCCCCTTCTCCGCCTGGCTCTTCTCCCCTTCTCTGCCTGGCTCTTCTCCCCACCCCTCGAGACTGTTGGTGCTTGGCGGGAGGAGAGGGAGGGGGAGCCCCCCTTGGGGAAATCTTCCAGGGGGGGGCCGAGCGGGTCGGCAGCCCCTCCCCCATGGGGATCCCCCCGCAGGCGATTCCTGCAGGTGGCAGTGTTCAGGGGGGCACCCCCCCCCCCCCCCACCCCAGACTCTCCTCCCCTCCCCTCTCTGGTACTCTCGGGTCGATGCTCGGAGCGTCTGTCGGATCAGGCGCTGTGGGGGACTCTCGCCCGTAGGCAGGTGGGGAGTTGGGGCGTGCCGAGCATGTGCGGGCGATGGGCGGGGTCGGTGGCGAGGGCGCGTCCTGTTTGTCGATGGGCGAAGGGTGGCGGGGAGGCTATGTGGCAGTGTGGCGGCGAGGGTGGAGAAGGGTATCGGGCGATCGTGTGGGTCGGAGGCGGCGGTGCCGGCAGCGGCGGGGTGGACGGCGGCGGTGGCGAGCAGTATTCTGGGTGTGGAAGGGTCTAGCTCGCTTTCGTAACTGCCTGTCTGGTGGCTGTAGAGTCGACAGTTTTTGTCGGTGGAGGTTCCGGTCGGGTCGGGCGGTGGTGGGGTCGTGGAGGCGGTGTCGGGGAAGGCCGAGGCGGGGGGTGGGCGGGTCGGCTGCGTCTCGAGTTCGTTCGGGTCGGCGGTGATATGGAGTGGTGGTGCTGGCGTGGAGGAGGGGCGACAGCTGACTGAGATGAGGGGGGAGATGGCGGAGGTGGCTTCGTGGGAGTGCTCGAGGGCGGCGGGGGTGAGCGGGAGGGTCGCGTCTAGGGCGATCGGGGTGGGGACGGTGGCGGAGGGTGGACGGGCGGGGCTGTGGGGCATGTGCAGGTGACGGGCGGGGTCGGTGGCGAGGGTGATGGGGCTTCCCGTGCATCGACGGGCGAGGGTGGCGGGGAGGCTATGTGACAGGGTGGCGGCGACGTCGTGCTAGCTTCTTCACACTCCTCTAAAACTGTGTTGATCTCGTCGTTGAAGGCGGCGTCATCAAATACTCTCGTGTCAATCTTGGCGACGTCATGGCCCCTTTCTCCCGTTGCTTCTGTGGTGCGGATCACGGCCGGTTCGTGGTCTAGTATCGCGGCGTCTCTATCTCTAGCGAAAAAGTCATGGACCCCCCCTTCGTGTACGGCGGAGAGTCCATCGAGGGTCGGCAGGTAAATTCGGTCGATGCGCGTGGAGGTGGGGCCACTCGATGTGTTGTGGTGGGAGGTGAAGAAGGGCTGATCCCCGAGCCACTCCCTCGCAACATCCACCAGGCCGTAGTGGCTGAGGACATCTTCGAGTTCGTCGGCTCCGGCGTTCTCGTACGGCGATTGGGCGTTTGATCGGACGTCAAGTTGTGGGTCGGGGACGCAGTTAGCATCGATGCCGAGGACCGTTTTCTTTGTTAGGAAGCTGCGCAGGTCGTGCTTAAAGAAATCTGGGCGTTTGTTCGCTTCGGATCCCGGGAAGGCGTAAACGGAGGCTAGTCTCAGAGCGCGTCCGTCGATGATGGCTTGGATCGAGATGCCTCGGCCGTCTCGGAGTCTTTTGGTCGAGCGCCTCATCCGTTCAGTAGCGTCGTGGTGGGTCTCCCCTGGTAGGAGCTCTATCTTCTCCTTCGGGATGAGTATAGCCGTCCCTCCTCTGGTGTATGGGCGGCTCTGTGGTGACCCCGTCCAGATGCCGTCCGTGTTCCCTCCACATAGCGGTACGGCGAAGAGCTCAAAGCCGTGGGCGGATGCTTTTAACCTGTGCTCTGCTGTTTTTCTGAGCGCCGTCTCCTGGAGGAATATTGCCGTGATTGGGCGCTGCCTGTGTTCTTTTTTTATGTCTACGAGTATCCTCTCCCAACGTGGAAGACTGGCGATGCTGCTTAGCAGCAGGGCCACAACACCAGACACAAGTACACGCTTCGACGCCTCATCCTCGCCCTACGCGCCGCGTGGGGCACCGCTGTGCGAATGGAGCCGAAAGCCCACCTCGGTCAGAGTTACAAAAAAATTAAATATTCTTAGCTTCGCCCTTGCCTCCGACGCTGGGGACAGAACCACACCAGTATCAGACCAGAGGGACTGCCCCCCTCCCCCACCTGCCCTGCTTACACAGGATAGCATGCCCCGAGAGCGGCGACATTTGGCAGGGGTAACCTGGGAAGGAGGTTTGGTTGTGCTTTTTTTCTTTTTTTGGTGTGCCGGTGATAGTACTAGCACGCGCCAGTTCGCACCTGTGTCGAGCCTGTCTGCTGTGAGAGAGAGTTGTTTTGTTTAATCGCCGCACGCGGCCTCCTCCTGCCGCTCGTCATCCTCCGCCTCGAGGGCGTCCGCCAGCGCGCTGCGCCGCACACCCCGGCGCACAGGAGGCGGCGCCGGCCGCACCTCGGCCGCCTCGGCGTCGCCCGCGGCACGGGCGCCCCGCTCGCCGTCCGCGCGGTCCATCGCCGCATCCCCATCCCCGTCTGCGGCAGCGCCGCCTGCGCCTGCGCCGGCCTGCTCTGCGACGGCTCGCCACCGCTCGTCGTCCAGCATGTGCCACCACCGCCGATCCGGGTAGCCGTCGTACTCGACCTGGTGCGCGATCCGTCCGTCCCCGTCCTCCTCCCGCGCCATGACGGTCGCAGGGTACCACCGCTCACTGTCGCAGAAGATCTCGAGGCGCGATCCGGTGGACAGGACAGTGTGGCCGTCGAGCGCCGCCCTGGCATCCTCGCGCTGTCGCTTCCGCCGCTTCGCCTTCGTCTCCTTGCTGCGCAGCAGGGTGTAGTTCGGGCCCACCTCCGCCACGCTGTCCAGCAGCTGGGCGGCGCTCGCCATCTCGACCGCGTCGTCCTCCGGCGGAAGCTCCGCGTCGCCCGCGGCCGCTTCCCGAGCGCGCTCGTCGCGCATCCGCTCGTGGTGGGCCTGCCGACGCGCCACGCCGGCGCCCGTGTGCCTCGCCGCCGCGTCCGGTGACGGCATCGGTCGCTGCCACAGGTCGTCCCACAGGTCGTACCAACAGGTCGTCCCAAAGGGGACGCATCCAAACCGCCGCATTTCGACCGCCGAAAAGTCTCCCACTCGCTCTGCCCCAATCTCGAACCAATCTCGAGTCGTCTCACTAGTTACATACATATTTTTCGTGACATACCGCGGGCCGGGGTTGGGTTCGATTCCCTCTTCCGTGAGGTCGCGTTTCCATCCCTCCATCCCTGTGTGGCTTATGGGGGGGGCGGGCGGCGCTTCACGCGGGTTGGCGGAGGTGTTCGGGTCGGTGGTGGTGTGGAGCGCTTGCGGATCCATTTCCCTGCGATACGCAGAAAAGGTGCTTCTCCTCCTCAGAATCCGGCTTCTAAGGACGGAGCAACGTGTTGCTGTGCGCCTTTTATTGGGTCCGAGGGAGGTGCAGTACGAAAATATCGAATGGAAAGGCCCAGGAGCGACAATGGGCCGCGGTGGTGGCTCTGGGATGGAGGAGGGGCGATAGCTGACTGAGATGAGGGGGGAGATGGCGGGGGTCGCTTCGTAGGAGTGCTCGAGGGCGGCGGGGGTGAGCGGGAGGGTCGCGTCTAGGGCGATCGGGGTGGGGACGGTGGCGGAGGGTAGACTGGCGGGGCTGTGGGGCATGTGCGGGCGCTGGGCGGGGTCGGTGGGTGGGGTGACGGGACTACCTGTGTGTCGATGGGCGAGGGTGGCGGGGAGGTTATGTGACAGGGTGGCGGCGAGGGTGGAGGAGGGTGTCGGGCAGCCGTGTGGGTCGGAGGCGGCGGTGCCGGCAGCGGCGGGATGGTCGGCGGCGATGGCGAGCTGTATTCTGGGTGTGGGAGGGTCGAGCTTGGATTCGTTGCTGTCTGTCTGGTCGCTGCAGAGTCGACGTTTCATGTCGGTGGTGGTTCCGGTTGTGTCGGGGGAGGGAGGCGTCGTGGAGGCGGTGTCGGGGAAGGCCGAGGCAGGGCTTGGACGGGTCGGCTGCGTCTCGAGTTCGTTCGGGTCGGCGGTGGTGTGGAGTGGTGGTGCTGGCGTGGAGGAGGAGCGACAGCTGACTGAGATGAGGGGGGAGATGGCGGAGGTGGCTTCGTGGGAGTGCTCGAGGGCGGCGGGGGTGAGCGGGGGGGTCGCTTCTAGGGCGATCGGGGTGGGGACGGTGGCGGAGGGTAGACGGGCGGGGCTGTGGGGCATGTGCGGGTGATGGGCGGGGTCGGTGGCGAGGGTGATGGGGCTTGGTGTGTCGATGGGCGAGGGTGGCGGGAAGGTTATGTGACAGGGTGGCGGCGAGGGTGGAGGAGGGTGTCGGGCGGTCATGTGGGTCGGAGGCGGTGGCGCTGGCAGCGGCGGGATGGTCGGCGGCGATGGCGAGCTGTATTCTGGGTGTGGGAGGGTCGAGCTTGGATTCGTTGTTGTCTGTCTGGTCGCTGCAGAGTCGACGTTTTGTGTCGGTGGTGGTTCCGGTTGTGTCGGGCGGTGGTGGGGTCGTGGAGGCGGTGTCGGGGGAGGCCGAGGCGGGGCTTGGGCGGGTCGGCTGCGACTCGAGTTTGTTCGGGTCGGCGGTGGTGTGGAGTGGTGGCTCTGTCATGGGGGAGGGTCGATAGCTGACTGAGATGGGGGGGGAGATTGCGGGGGATTCTTCGTGGGAGTGCTCGACGGCGGCGGGGGTGAGCAGGAGGGTCGCGTCTAGGGCGATCGGGGTGGGGACGGTGGCGGAGGGTAGACGGGCGGGGCTGTGGGGCATGCGCGGGCGCTGGGCGGGGTCGGTGGGTGGGGTGAAAGGGCTTCCTGTGTATCGATGGGGGAGGGTGGCGGGGAGGCTACGTGAAACGGTGGCGGCGAGGGCGGAGGAGGGCGTCAGGCAGTCGTGTGGGCCAAGGGTGGCGGCGCCGGCAGCGGCGGGGTGGTCGGCGGCGATGGCGAGCTGTATTCTGGGGGTGGAAGGGTCTGGTTTGGACTCGTCACTGTCTGTCTGGTCGCTCTCGCTGCAGGAGGGAGGAGGATCTTGGCGCTCCGTGTCGGTGGTGGGTGCTTGGGTCGCGCCTGGGGGATCTACTGGTACGTCCTTTCTTCCTCGCTCCATTATTGGTACGACGCAAAATATGGCCCGGAGTACGGTTGACATGGCGTGAGGGACATGAAAGAAACTTTGGGGCCACACTTTCCTCTGCGAGCAGCGGTCTAGTCCTCGCATAAGGGGCTTCACTCCCTCTAGAATCCGGCGGGCGGCTTCTTCTCGGCGATCTCGCGAAGGAACTTCGTTGCTCGGGCGCGTGCGGTGTCTGCGGAGGAGCGCGCGGTTGCACAGATTCATCTGACAGAGGGTAACGTGGGGAGAGGCGGTAAGGTCGGCGGTCGGAGACTTTGGGTTGCTCTCGAGCTTCGCTCGGAGGAGCGCGCTTAAGCGCGCTCCTTGTGTAACCTCTCGCCCCGAAGGGCGGATTGTGAGATGGGTTCTGTCGTGGCGTGTGTGGGAGGGGTGGGGGTGTGCCTGGTTGGGGAGAGGAGCTGCTGCGTGCGTCAGGGATGGGGCGTGTCTCTCCGTGGGCGGTGTATAGCGCGCGTGGCAGGCGGAGTATAGCGCGCTGAGATTGTCCTGATTGGGGGGCTCGCTTGGGCCTGGGAGCTGTGGGCAGTCCTTGGTTGTGTGCTGAGTGGCTGGGAGCTGGTTGGGCTGGTGTGGTGTGAGCGGTGAGCGGGCGGCGGATTGGGCAGAGGGCTCGGCGGGTGCTTCTGTGGGTCGTGTGGAGGAGCTGTGTGTTGGTGGCGGGCCGGTTTGGGTCGTAAAGTTTTGCGTGGCAGGCTGGTGTAGAATGGGAATTTGGTCGAGCAGGGATTGTGATTGGCGTGGCGCGCACGCAGCGCACGCGGGATGGCTGGAGGCGGGGCGCGCCTGCTCCTCGCGCTCGAGCAGGGTCTCGAGAGGCGCAGTGGACTCGTGCGAGTCGCCCATCTGGCCTCGGACGCGCTCGGCGGCGGCGGGGCAGCGCAGAGCTCAACCAAACTGGCGGCCTTCGTTCAAAAGGGTGTTTTTTTTTTCTGAGCTGGGAAAAGATGCGGCAGAGGAAGAGGGCGTGAAAGGAGAGGGCGAGGGCGGCGAGGGGAGAGGAGGTGCTGGGGAAGAGGGAGGGGGTGCATGAGGGGTGTGTGGAAGGGAGCGGCGGCGGCGGCGGCGGCAAAAGGCAGCGGCGACAGCAGGGGACAGCAGGGGACAGCAGGCGGCAGCAGGCGGCACGGCCTGAAAGCCACCCCGCCGCGCAATGTGGCGACGTGCCCGCCGCTTTTGTAATTGTGTACTTTTAGCTTACTGGGAGAAAAGAGAGAGGGGGTTGTGTTCTCTAGGCCCCTAAGGGCCCTACGCGCGGCGTGAGAGCTCGGAAGCGAGTGTATCGTTCGGTTTGTAGAAGATTTTTGCGAGCCTCCAAGTGCTCAAGTGCTCCCTCTCTCAAAGAAAATTGTTCAATAAGACTTTCCCGCTGCGCCTTTGAGGCTAGAATTCAACACCACAGCGTGCCCTGCCGCCCATGCCGTTCTCAAGGTAGGCCGTATACTAGATACTACGCTTTACACGCTAGCCCATAGAGCCGTATATCCCTCCCGGCTCCCGCCTCCCCCCAAGTGCCAAGCCCTGAATTGAGCGCCTTGGGCCTTCGCTCGGTTTTTTCTTTCCCTTACACTGGGTTGTATGTTCTTTTGGTCCTTCCCTAGCTTTCACATTCGGGTGCGGCTGTTCTCACTGACAGCAGACTCCTCTCACCTCTCTCTTCAAACAACCCGCACTCCAAACTCCTCTTCAAAGGCGCCTCCCTCGGCCCCGCGCGGTCGCCTCCGCTCGGGCTAGCCCTCGGCTCCCCGGCGGATGGCGCCGCCGCCGAGCCTCCTCGAAGCGTTGTTTGGCGGGACGAGGCGGAAGACAGCGGCCGGCCCGCGGTAGGCCCCATCCGGCATCATGGACGGCAGCCAGCGGCTCCCCTCGCCGGTCCGCTCGGTCACCATGCGGTAGAGGGCGGGCGCACCTAGGAGTAGATGACTGGTGAACTCATCGCTGACTAGAGTTCGGGCGCCATGCGGCGGAGAGCGGGCGCGCCTCCGGCGAGCGAGCGCTTGTTTGGGCAGCCTGAGAGCGGGAGGACTGGCGCGCCCGCAGGCGTGCCCATCAGCCACTCGTGCCGCGCCTCCTCGGCCATGGCGTGCGTGAAGGCGCCTAGTTGAGAGGCGCCCGTCTTGTCACCGTTTGGCACCGCTCTCGGGCGGGCTCCCCGGTCCGGTACCCAGCATCCTGTCGAGTCCGGTCCTTTTCGGTCCAGTCCTGTCCAGTCCTCCGGTCTGGTCTAGTGTTGTCCCCGGTTCGGGTCTGACCCCACGACTTGCGAGGCGGTGTCGCACTAGCCTTTGCAGCGGGGGACTCGGCGTTGTGTCGCCCCCGACCAGTCGCTCTCTGTCTGCCTGCCCGTTCTCGACCGACCGACCGTCCGATCTCGTGCGATCTCGGCGCGCGGGGCTGTGTTGCTTGGGGCTGTGTGCTTGCGCGAGAGGCGCCTCCGAGGGCGCTGGTGACAGCCCAGTAGATGCCCTCAGCCACCACGCACCGCTCGTCGCACGACTCGTCCGAGTACGCAAACTGGCCGATGCATGCGCCACCACACGGGTCGCGCCAGTCGCCGC